CTCCCCCGCCCCCTCCACACACACACACACACACACACAGTCAGAACCCAGTCTGTCACAATTGGGTTCAGCCCGTCTTGTTCAGCTCCAGAAAGGGACTCATCCAGAATTCGCTGTTTCCGGTCAACGAAGAGGTGGCCCTGCATCCTGAGAGTGAAGGCCAGGGCTGCTGCACCCCAATCCCACATCCCAGCCATCGATACCCCACGTCCTGTGGTGGCGTCCGTGGAGCAGAGAGACCCCGGGCATGAGGACAGACACGGCCCACCAGCTCTTGGCCAAGACTACTTACAAGCCAGTTCCCCCCAGCAGGGCTGAGGAGTGGGGGGTATTACAGGTCCTTGCTGTACTCCTGCAGGATGGTGTAGCCAAGCCAGCTGCGCCCACCGGTGGGGCGGGAGCCCGCGGCCCTCGCCTTGGCAACCACAGCAGCATAAAGCACCACACACTCGTAGCCCTGTGCCCGCGCCTGCGCCTCCAGGAAGGCTAGCAGACGCCGCCCCACGCCCGAGCGCCGGTACCCGCGGGTGGAGACGGGACTCTCCCGGTGGGCGGGGCTCCAGTGCCACACAGCCGCACACGTCGTCGCCGTCGTACACCGCCACCCAGAGCCCACGCCGCCCTGAGCGGTAGTACGCGTGCAAGCGGCCCAGGTCCGGAGAGCGCCGCAGCAGCAGCTTGAGGGCCAGGATGGTGAGCAGCACGGGGCCCAGCAGCGCGGCCACAAAGGAGTTGAGCAGAAAGCGAAGGCCACTGCTCACCACGGCCAGCAGCAGCAGTGCCAGGGGCCGTGTCAGGACATACAGGATCAGCCGGTTTCCCGTGTCCTTGAACCCATCCTGGGGAGGAAGAGGGCATGTCAGCAGGGGGCTGAGGGCAGGGGGCCTGCTGCGTGCCCAGGCCAGGTGGGAGTGCAGCTGTGATGGCAGGTTTGCCACAGGCAGCAACTCTCCCCGAGGGATGTAACCCTACCAGAAAGGGCACTGTGGCCAGGGGGGCTGGTCTCGAGGGAAGTCCTGGATGGGACACAGGGGCCCAATCCCATGCATTTCTCACAGGTAGTGCACAGAGCACAAGGTTAAGAGAAAAGAGAAGCTGGCAGGATGTCTGGGTTCTAGCCCTGCACTTTGGAGGACAGCAGGGTCTAATGCTCATGGTCAGGGCTGTCCCTAGGGGGCCATGGACACCACCCCACACACATCCCCCCCACACACTGCCCCCATTCTGTCTCTTCCCACCCACATCTTTCCCCAAGGCCTACCCCTGCTCCACCTCCACCCTGCCTCTTCCTGCCCCTGCTCTGCTCCCTCCTGGCCCCCTTGTACCTCCCCCAAACTCCCCTCCTTGAAGCTCCGTGACCCGGGGAGCCTAGCTCAAGGTGGCAGCAGGGTTTGGCCCCCCCGCCCACCCCGCACTCACAGCCCACAGCTTGTTCTGCTTGGCTGCCATCTGCCAGCCGGGTTGCTTGACTTCACCACGGCGACAGGAAGCAGAGCATCCCAAGCCCAGCCCACTTCCCCAAGCCCCACATCTCCTGGGGGAATGGAGCACCCAGGCTGGGATATGACAGCAGAGCAGCTCAAGTTGCTGCATGAGATACTGCTTCCCAGGCTTCTGCTAGCCCACAGCTTGTTCTGCTTGGCTGCCATCTGCCAGCCGGGTTGCTTGACTTCACCACGGCGACAGGAAGCAGAGCATCCCAAGCCCAGCCCACTTCCCCAAGCCCCACATCTCCTGGGGGAATGGAGCACCCAGGCTGGGATATGACAGCAGAGCAGCTCAAGTTGCTGCATGAGATACTGCTTCCCAGGCTTCTGCTGCCACTCTGAGTGCAGCAGGGGGACCCTGCTGCTCCGCGTCTCCTCCCCGAGCCCTGAAATCCTCAAGCCACCCGGGGCTCCATGGGCTCCCATCAGTATGGGGGACTGCCCCATTGGATGGCTGGGGTGGCTGCTGCAGGGCCCCCCCAAAGCACAGGGACCAGGGCATCCACCCTGAACTGTTCTATGGATGGGACTCTGGTCACAATGTGAAATGGCAGGGAAAGGAAACCAGGTCAGTGCTAATCTCAGCTCTTCCTCGACCCTCTGGGACTTCAAGCGCTGCTCGCTTGGGATCTCTGTGCCTCAGCGTCCTCCACAAACAAGGGGATTCATACTGACTTGCATATCTCGGTAGGGGTAGGGAATCATGCAGGATCATTCTTTAGCTTTGAGATCCCCACAGGGCTAAAGGCAGGCAGGGGGTTAGAGCTTGGATGGACGGACAGACAGACATCTCCAGGGCTGGACAGACAGGCAATGCCCTCTCCCCAGACCTTTAGCAGCTCCAGGACCATCTGCTCCTCATCTTCCTGCATCTCGCGGATGGCGAGCTGGCTAGGATCCACCGTGGGCATGGCGCCTGGTGGGAGCAAGATG